AGAGAGAGAGAGAGAGAGAGAGAGAGAGAGAGAGAGAGAGAGAGAGAGGCAGAAAAGCAGGAAGAGACAAAGAAAGAGACAGGAGTGGGTAAGGCCCACCTTTCAACGGGAATGTAGCAAACGGGAGCAGAAGGTGCTCTTAGTGACTGCAGTTGGGGACGTATCCTGTCCTGTCAGGACCTCAAGGGCAGAGCAGTACAGACACCTGAGTACTAACACACAGTCCACAGGGCTGGTGTGGTGGTCCCTTCTCCTCAGTTCTTGACTGCTGCTTCCTCTCTTCTTGGTGCAGTTTGGGTAGCACACCCCTGGGACCTGAGTTCCCAACCACAGGGTGGGTGACATCTACTGCAGAAGCTGCCCGATCCTAGAGAGAAGCAGCCTGAACTAGACCCCACCCCTCCCCCACTAGGAGAGCTGTGTGCCTCTAAGCTACAACACCCTGGGGTAGAACACAAGCACTGGCTGGAAGAGCACACAGCAGGAACTCAGCTTCTTTTCCTTTTCTCCTTGCACTTACTGCCCTCACTATCCCAGCACTTGCTTCTCCAGCTCCCCGTTCTGACTCAGGTAGCTCCCTAAGCTGCAGGAGCAGAGTTATTGTGTCTCCATCTGGACCTGGGCATTAAACAGACTGTCAAGTCACAATGAAGATGGCCATGGAGTAGCCCAGGGGCCCTGTGGGGCTACTCAGTTGACACAGCAAGGAGAGGGGATAGCCAGAGCCTCCTCATCCGGCATCCTCCAGATGGCAAAATCTGACCATCGGATCTTCGTTTACATCATCAATAAACCTGTGTGCTGTTTAACCAACGGTTCGTTCATTCAAAAACAATTGGCTCTGGACACTCAGTAGGCTCATTCTAGGGATGGAACACACAGTGTGGACTCTGTCTCATAGACTTCAGTCTCCCAGCTGCTGGAGCCCATTTGTCATGTAAACAATCCAGTTTCCTCCCAAGAACTCCCAGAATGCTTTAGCCCCAAAATAAGAGCCCCTGGGCCTATTGGGGATTGGGAATCCCATAGTTCTTACTCACCCTACCCAAGATACTGGGTCACTGGTGGCACTAAATACCTTCTAGCCCTAGTGCCCCACCTGTAAAGCTGAGAGACAGATGTATGTCCTAGCAAGGCTGTGGGGTCATGTGACACTTCATGTCACAGCATGAGGGTTTGAGCTCCTCCCACAGTTCTCTGAAGAAACAGGACCCAGCAGAGGTGAATGGGGCTTGGGGGGGTGGGTGTCAAAGCAGAACCTCTAGAGATGGTCAACTGTGGATAAATCAGTTGTGCGACTTCTCTATGGCTCAGAAAATACATTTATAGGCAATGTCTTGTCCGTACTGTGGCAATTAGCACGGTTTTCCTTCCCAGAGGGTCATAAAGGGTGCGTGCATGGCAATGACTCACCACCACGCATATGGGAGGAGACATAGGCTTGAACACAAACAGCCACCTCCAACGCATGTACACACATGCTGTACACACATGCCACTGAATTGTGAGCCAAATGTAACAACTGTTTGTGTTGTCGCTTAGTTGAAAATCAGAGGCCAGTATTAGAGGCGGTAGGGTGGGAACCCACGTAGACCGGCTTCCAAATCCTAGTGCTGACCCTTTTTGTGTGGCTTAGTCAAACCACTGAACTGAGGAGTGGGTAGCTGCATGTGCCCCACTGGCAGGTGTTACCTCTTTCGGGGGAAGCCCTTCCTCCCAGGTCCTTCCTGGCTTAAGCTCCAGACTGGCAGCCCTGGCAGCTTCCTCCTGCTCCTTGCAGAATGAAGCTCAGCCAGATTCAGTGCTGCCTTGCTTGTCTGCCACCCCAAAGCTGCCTGAGGAGTGTTAAAGAGCAGCAGCTGTCTCCTGTGGCGGCGGGAGCGCCAGCCAGGGGTCCCAGGCCATGCTGCTGTTTATGCAGACTCCGAGGCCTCTCCAACTTTTACAACTGTTTACTGCGCAGAAGGGAGCCCAGAAGCTGGGCTTCTCCTGGGCCTCGCTCTGCTACCTTCCCTTTGGGGAAGCCTGTCTGAGTGCCACTCACTCTAGAAATAGCTTCCAGTGATCTCTGGAGGGGTACAGGCTGGGACACACACACAGAGCCACGAAAGGGTGCACGAGGTGGTGGGCTAGGGGACAGGTACAAAAAGAGGAATGGGGTCAGAGATGGAAACAGGAGCTGAGAACAGAGCACAGGTCAGGAAGGTCAAGCATAGAAATGGAGCAGAGTCAGGGATGGAGGCGGCTGGACTTAACAGCCATTCACATACACAGACCCGTGGGAGAGCAAAGCGGAGACCCAGGAAGTCCTGGGGAGGAAAGCCCACCCTGCCTATCTTGCACAACTCTGACCCACATTACTCTACTGCCACAAAGTTCCCACAGGAAAGTCAGGGTGAGGGTCTCAGGGAGAAGCCCCATCTTCGCCCCAACCTGCACATGCTTTCCAGCAGCAAGCAGAAGGGGCAGGATTTAGTGAGGATCGCGAGTTTCATTTTTTATTTAAAACTTAAGACAGCAACAATAAAAACACTCGGCTAAAATAGCACCCAACCAAGCCACTTCCCCTGCAATTTAAAGTCAAGTGCCCCCATCCCAGCACCCTGTACCTTTAAGGAGGAGAAGGCGCCTCTCTGCTTCCCTCGGGCTGAAGAGGCAGGTTATTCTAGGCAATAGCGATGACTTACCTAAAACTGAGTTATTCCCCTTTCCTCCCTGGCCAGCCTCTCTTCACTCTGGGGAGCTTTTACCATTTAAGGTCAATGTTACATCTGGCTCCAGAGCTCCGAGCTGAAAAGCTCTGGCTGCAGAGGCTCGGCTGCCTGCCTCCTCCTCAGAGAGGGGCTGGGATGAGGGGCTGGGACTGGGAACCAGAGATCCACCAGGCCCCCTGCAGCCTGGCTCTGGGGATAAAGACAGAAGAAGCCTCCCAGTCAGCCTCAGGGTTCAAGGAACTTTGGGCCTGAGTGGTAGCCCCTTATCCTGGGCTCTTGCAGGGGTACCGCTGTAGCCTACAGCAGTACCTAGGAAGGTGGTTGGAGTTGCAGGACACTGTCCTCGCTAGAGGGGAATGAAGGGGACATATGTAGAGCAGCCTCCCACCCCGAGTGTCCAGCCTGCTTGTGAGCCTAGATAAGATCCTGGCCCAGTGCCAGGAGAAGCTGGGAATGTTTCCTGTCCCAGGGATTTGGGGGCGGAGGCTGCTCCCATCTTAAACCCTCAGAATTGCCAGAGAGAAGAAAGGCATGGTGAAGGGAATTAGCTAATTCCAGGCCTGGCAGCAGCTCCAGGGGTCTGTCCACCTAACAGTGCCGTAGTCTTGACATTGCAAAGCCTCCGTCTATCCATCTCTGAAGTGGAACAATAGTGATAAAGATCAGGACACTGTGGGCCAGGGTCTCATAGGTACTAAAACATCAGGGATGAATTTCTTGCCCCCACCACACCCCTCAACTCAGGCGGAGAAGCCTGCCTCTCTTCTGAAGTCCACACCCTGTCCATGCTTGTTCCTCACCTTCCTCAGAAACAGCGCCCAAGGCACAGAATGACAACCCTAAGACAACCACATGGGGGCTCCACCACCCTTTCTGCAGTTAGAGATCTCAACAGCGAAGCCCTTGGGTGGCCCAGGCAGATAACCACAGGATACTCAAATTTAAACCTCAAATGAAATGTAATTATTTCCATACAAGGATGCCCCAAGTACTGCATGAGACATGCGTGTACCACAAGATTGTATGTTGTTCATTTAAAGCTCAAATGTAACCAGACATTTTACTTGCTACACCTGAGAACTCCAGCCCTGGCCATTACCTGTTAGTCCTGAGTGAGAGTATGAGGGATTGGAGCTCCAAGGCCCACGGCTCGTGCCTTCTTCTGCCAGGATGAGCACAAGCCCCATCTCCAGCTTCTAGTCACAGGCCAGTCACAGAGCAGGTGCTCCCAAACTAATTTGGATCCAGCGGGGGTCCATGCCGGGGTTACTTCTAGCACACCGTCCTGGCCTCTCTCCTGGGTGTTGAGTAAGCTTCCCGCTGCCTAGCAAATCTGCCTGTTGGCTTCACGAATCACTCTTTGCCTGGGAACCCACATCTGTCTGTGGATGCGCACCCCACTGGCAAAACCACACGTGCAAACTACTAACACTGACAGGGCTGGTTGGCTGCTCTACCGACCTCAAAATGACTCAGACCTCTAAGCCTGAACTTAGAAGCCCTAGACACCTCTTCCAGAAATTCGAATGTCATGGACCTGAGTCTGCAACAAGACACAGGCATCTCGTCCAAACTAAGGGCCTCTGTGACTCTCAACATCCCTAACTTTGGGGCATGCTGCTCTAGAGCAGTGGTTCTCAACCTGTGGGTCAGAACCCCTTTGGGGGTCTAATGACCTTTTTACAGGGGTTGCATATCAGATATCCTGCATATCAGATTTTTCCGTTACAATTGATAACAGTAGCAAAACTACAGTTATGACGTAGCAATGAAATCATTGTATGGTTGGGATCACCACAACATGAGGAACTGTATTAAAAGGTCTCAGCATTAGGAAGATTGAGAACCACTACTCTAAAGGGTATTACAGGAATCCCTGGTAACCAGAGGCTAAAAATGGAGCCTAAGGCTTTGTGTGCTTATGAGTGTGTGCACACGCTTGTATGTGTGTAAGCCACTTAGTAAACACCTGCTATATTCCTAATAGTGCATTAGATACTTTTTGTGAAAACATGTGTCTATCTCAAACGGAATTGTTGCATTTTGCCTTTGAAAAGAAAACTGAGAAATGGAACAACCTTCGGATGCTCTGCAGCCTTGGGTGCCAGGGCCCAGATGTGAGCTGAGGTGTTCCAGCTACAACTCCTTCCTCTTCGCCATCTGCCATCCCTTCCACCATGGCTCCTCCCCCAGGGGCCTGGATGGCCTTGTGAGTCTCGGAGCCAACGCTCAATTCCTGTTTCTCTTGGTAGAGGCCCAAAGCTTTCGCCAGACTCCAAAGCAGTCACTGAGTGACTTTTTCAAACTCACTTCAATTACAAGCATTTTGTAAAACATCACTTGGTGGATGTGCAACGCAGATCGAGTCTAGAGCGGACCCATCAGCACTGTTAAGGTTGTGAGGCTCGTGCCCTTTGACCCAGTTCTACTTCTAGGAATTTATTTTATAAACAACTCCCACACTTGGGGAATGACAGATGTATGTGATTACTCACTGCAGCATTGTTTATACAAGCAGGGGGATTTGGAGTGACATAAATGAGCACTACTTGGGGGCTATAAAAGAAGATGGGGTGCAGCCATAACAAAGAAAGAGCGAGCTATTGCTCTAACCATGGGAAAAGGAGGCTAAGGCAGTGGTTCTCAACCTCTGGGCCATGACTCCAGAGAGTCGCATATCAGGTATTTACATTATAACCCATAACAGTAGCAAAATTACAGTTATGAAGTAGCAATGAAATCAGTGTGTGATTGGGGTCACCATAACATGAGGAACTGTATTAAAGGGCCACAGTATGGAAGACTGATGTATTGGTACCTGGGGAGATAGCTAAGAACATCTTCTACCACATGGGTGGGAAAGTGTATGTGGACGTATATTTATATACATATGAAGACACTTATATCCATTCATATACACCCACACTCTCAATGCATCAAAAGCTGACACAATAGTCAACAATATTAAAACATTATCCCTGGGAAAGGAATCTAAGTTGTGGAATAAGTGAACCACTGGGGCCAGTGAGATGGCTCACAGGGTCAAGGTGTCTGCTGGCAAGCCTGCCCACCAGGACCCACGTGGCGGAAGGAGAGAATTGACTCCAATGAGCTGTCCGCTGACCTCTTTGTGCCTAGTATAACATGCACATGCCTACATGCATACATACAAAATAAAAATAGAATAAAACATGTTAAAGGTTAACACGTATTCACTCTGTCTTACTTATTCATTTAAGGTCTTGGGCCACAGGACTAAGTCATGTGTTTACATTCAGTAACAGTAATTCAATAACAGTAATAGCTAAACAAAAGTATTGCTCTGACCGGAGATTTAACTCATTTGTCTTCCAGCACCGCCTCCTCCGACCATTAAGAGTGCTGGGAAGATTCTGACTAAAGGTTATTGGTGGTTTTTTTTAACTTTTATTTTGGAACAATTACAGGCATACAGGAAGTTATAAAAATAGTAGAGTCCCAAGTGCTCCTTCATCGGCCTCTCTCAGCGGTGGCACTTATATCACAGTTATGTATTTCAGAACTGGACAGCCAACATCAGGATGCTGCTGTTAACTAGATGCTCTTATCCTCGTGGTTATTTTTTTAAATGTAATCTTTTCATTCATACGCTTAAAATGTTCATTGTCGGGGCTGCAGAGATGGGTAAGAGCCTGCAATGCTATGACGATGGAGGACCCTACCTTCAGTTCCCAGCATGCAGGTTGAGTGACTCACAAGGCTGTGACTCCAGCTCTAGCCCCTCTGACCTCCATGAGCACCTGCACTCATGTGCACAGATACACACATCTACACATGATTAAAATAACCATAAAGCCAGACGATGGCGGGTGCATGCCTTTAATCCCAGCACTCAGGAGGCAGAGGCAGGCAGATCTCTGTGAGTTCAAGGCCAGCCTGGTCTGCAAAGCAAGTCAGAGCTACACGGAGAAACCTTGCCTCAGAAATAAATAAATAACATTGTTGACTGAGTACTTGTGGTGAGCTGACCCAGTGCTGGCTGGTCATGGAGTGTGGTGGTAGGATCATCTGTGACCTATCTGTGCCCTCTTACTGACCCCCAAAGTCATGTGATGGTAGCATCACTAAGACCTAGGATCCAGCAATGCACAAGGAGTGCTGACCACAGCTCTAAAAAAGGAACTGTGTCCCTCGCTGTCCTGGTCACGGAGCTTCACAGCTTGCCCGAAAGCTGACTTTTAATCCTTAAAAGAACATAAGCAATTACTCTGGCTATATTTATCCGTGTTCCTGGAGCCACACAGGGATTTGGCCTCACTCTACCAAAATCTCTAGCTCATCTTTCATCCCATCAGCGGCCACCATGTGTCCTCGGCACAGAAGCAATGGCCAACAGAGGCATACTGGCCCGTGGCTCAGGGAGGCGTGACTGGCCATCTGACCTTTGGCTGGGAAGAAGTTTTAAGGCCCGGGAAAACAAAAGCTCATCCTGGGACAGAGGGACGCCAAGGGAGGAGACTTGGCTTCTTGCCAAGAATGCAGCCAGCTCTGGGGTTGATTACTGGACAGCTTCTCTGGGAGCTTGACTTAGGGACTCTGGGAAGGCCTAGTACTTAGCAGATCCCGAATGAATGGACGATGAGAGGCCAACTCAGTAGCAGGCATGGCCACCAACAGGTGTCATTCAGTGACGTCGGGGTCAGGCACTGTGCCAGGCTCTGTGCACACATGGTCTAATGCTGCCATCATTGCCAAATAACATGATGTGTAGCTTCCCAGCCCGATTCCTAGATGACAAATGTGATGTGGAGAGATGAGGAACCTTGCCACCACCTTGCAGTTTGCAATCTCGAGTCTAACTCTAGAGTCCCCAACTGATCAACCCAAGACGGCAGACCGCAAACACAAGATCCCAATCTCTGTCCCTTCCCCAAGATGATAGTATTTCTTGCCTCCTGTCATCCCAATAAAATGCTAGCAGGAACTCCTTTAAAGGAACATGTATCTAAACAGGGAGCTGTGGAACACACCCTAATCCCAGAGCTTGGGGGGCTGAGAAAGGAGGCTAGCGAGATCCAGGCAGCCAGAGCTATATAGAAGGATGCTGCCTTAAACAATAAGTAAATAGAGAGAAAATAAGGTAAGGAAGGAAAAGATAAAGGGAGGGAAGGGACACGAGTGGATATTTCTGCAAGTTTGCGAGAGAATAATACTGGAGTACTGGTGCCGACCAAACAGGACATGGAAGCTGAGCTCCACACCACACGGAGAAAAGGGTTTCCAGATCCAAGAAGGAGCTCATACCTTCTCTGAGACTCTGAGAGCTTCAGGTGTGACAAGGACAGGCGTGAGATGGCCAGAAAAGAGGTGGCATGTGGGGAGGGGCATATGCAGGCATGTGCGTGCTGGGGGAGAGG